AGGGGGCTCCCCCCCCCCCAGGTTACAGCTATGTACAGAGATAAAATCCTTTTTGTGTGTTGCATTTTCAAGGTATTCTTCTTATATTCAGGGTTGTCTTTCTTTTGAGTAAATAGAAGTTATGCAGCCTACAATGTGATACAGTCAATCCTGCTGATTACATATAGGCCAGGCTGTCGATAACCAGGGCCAGGGCTTTCTCAGTGGCGGCTCCATTCTGGTGGAATGCGCTCCCAGAAGAGATCAGGGGCCCTGCGGAACCTCTTACAGGTCCAAAGGGCCTGTAAAATGGAGCTTTTCTGCCAGGCTTTAGGAGCCGCCCCCAGTGTTCCCTCTAAGTTGTGGAGTCTTGTGAGCAAAAATTCTACTTTGTGAGTTACTGGCATTAAAGTTGTGAGCAAGCGATTTTGGCTACTGCATAAATTAGTTTGCTCTGGAGCCATCCTTCCTGAGTTGAGACAAAAATGTGTGAGCTGGAGGCTAAAAAACTGGGAGCTGGCTCACACTAACTCAGCTTAGAGGGAACACTGGCCGCCACCACTAACAACTAGGACAGAAGGCCCTGTTGCCCCTGGAATCCATACTAACAGCCTGTGCCAGCCGCCTGAAAGACATCTGAAGAAGATCTACGAGCCGGTTATGGGAAGAGAGAGCTGATACGGTAGCCATCGTTGATTTATTTATTTATTTCACTTTTACCCCGCCCTCCCCGCCAGGCGGGCTCAGGGCGGCTTCCAAAAACTGATAAGCAGTATACATTTTACAGTACTAGAATAAAATACATCATTTAAAAACATAGACAAGTCAATATAAAACATTCATTCGATGGCGATAAAAATAAGTGCAGTTTAGGGCCACATTCAGCAGTGCCACCGCGCTAGGTCGTGTTGGATCGGAGTTCACACAGGGCACTGCTGGTTCAAGAAACCTTGAACCTCAAAAGTCTCCAGTCCAGACCCTGAACAAAGCGGGCATTTTGCGCCTCCCTCCCTTCCGCATGCACTTCGTAATCTTTGCCAGGACAGGCGGGGAAGGGGGCGTAAGAGGAGAAAAACCTTTGTTTTCTGGAACAGACATCTCGCCATTAGCCGGGCTCTGCCCCATCAAACCAAACAGGGTTTTCAAGAACAGAACAAGGACCAATTCAAATCAATTACTCCACTTCACTGTAGCAAAACACTGCCGGACGGCCTTCGTTCAAGAGCCAATTCACCTCCGCCACGGCAGCCAACAAAAGAGACAGAGAACACTACACTTCTATTAAAAACCCTACTTAAAAGCCAAGTCTCCTTGTAAAAGATTCGCCCTCTGCCCGTCCACCAATTAGGCACAAGAAAACTGAAGCCGCTTCTGGCAAAATAGCGACTCCGGGGCACACAAGCCCATTTGCGGCAGACAGCATCACGGCAGAGATAAGTGCTGTAAAAGTCCACATAGGAGTGGTGAAGACATCCCATCACACACACACACACACACACACACACACACACACACACACCTCTATGTACAGAAAACTAGGGCAGCAGGATGTAGACTAGCCTATACCACCACCCCTTCTTTGTCACAATGCTAGTTTACTACAAAAATAAAACATTATTGGTTTTATACATGCTGGTTGATTTTATCCTGTGTTTAATGTCTTTTTAACTGTTCACTGCCTAGATAGCCCTAACCTAAGGAACGGGAAAGGTGGCGAAAATATGTTTTAAATAAAATAAATAAATGCAGGGAGTTGTAGATTTTCCAGGCTGTATGGCTGTGGTCTTGGCACTGTAGTACCTGATGTTTCACCAGCAGCTGTGACTGGCATCCTCAGAGGTACAACACGTGTCAAGGTGAGAAGAAAAATGGTAGGCA